GTTGAGCACAGCCTGGTCTACGCAACCCCGTCGATGACCGCCAGCCTTGTGGACAGCGGGGTCCGGCGTTTTCATGAGAGGGCCTTGGCGGCCAAGTTGGGTTGGAGTCCTGGGGGCCGTGTGTGTGTGTGTGTGTGTGTGTGTGCTGAGCCCGTGCGTGGGCTCGTGAACCCTCGGACCAGAGGGATCGCCCTCGCGGCTAAGGATAAGTATCTTGAGAGGTCGGCTTTTTTCTGACGGCCTCTGGAGCGAAGATCATGCGATGAAAGCTGGCTGAGCTGCCTCGGGGCTGGACTGTGTCCTTTATGTCAGGGGCCCGATTCGGTGGGACACCGTCTGCGCCAGTGCCAGCGCGCAGAGGTGGTCAATTCGAGGGACTCGCTGGAGCTACCACCGCTTGTCTGCCAGGATGCGATCAATGGCGATTTCGATATGCATGGAGGTTGAAGATGGAGCATCCTGTCAGTTTCTGGCCGCCCATTAGTGATGACCACGCGCCTGTGCTATATGATAGCGAGGGGACGGTGGTTCAGTGGAGTGAGTTTGACGTCGCTGGATTGTACCAGGCGGGGGATGGGTCGTGCATGGCTCGCGCCATGCGGGATTTGTCTCGGGGGGCGTACTCTTGGGTTTTCCTCAACGAGCAGGGTCAGCAAACATGTGCTGCGCGGGGTGCAGTGTGGCCGTCGCTCCCGCAGACCAGCCAGGCTGCGGAGCAGCTGCAGCTCGCGCTACTGCCCATTTTTGTGCCAGGCCTTGCGACGACGCGTTGCAGTGACTGTATGAATGCGGTGGAACTTCATAACAAGTCCTCATTGGATCAGATGGTTCCCAAACAGCGCTTTGGGGGTTTGAAGAGAGGTGCCCTTCTCCATGTGTCCAATCAAAACTACGCCCCAGATGTTCACGCGCATGCGCGCCGCAAGCTGGAGGATATAGATATGCTGCCGCAGCCCGACTGTAGGATCAGGCAAGCTAATAGGGGGGCGGACCTCGAGGCCCAGAAGGCCATCGAGATCCGCCCCAGGCCATCGGAGGCTGAATACAGGTATCTCCAGTATGCGGCCAGGCAGATCGAGTACTTTGCGAGAGTGGCCGCGGCCGTGCCGCCGTGTTTTCCCAGAGTTGCTCGCCAGAGGCCCCCTCGAGGTTTTTGATGAGACGACGTCTTGGCACTCTTGGGGGCCCGCTCTGTGGGGCCATCGCTGTGCCCGCTGCCTTGATTTCTTTGGAGGTGCCCTCCACGAGACGTGAGCTGGGCTGTGGAGGGTTTCCCGAGCGCGTGGCTGAGTTGCTTGTGTCTGCGCCCGAGAACGGACGCAAGCTGGCGAGCACGCAAGTCGGGGACCAGCAGGCCCCTCTGTTTTCCTGTCTTGTGTGCGGAGCCTACCCCCAGCACAGGATACGACAGCTGGCGGCGCTCTGCAAGCCAGGCAGCGCGGGTAGCGGGGTGCAGGTTCTGTCCCGTTTGCGACGAGGCCTGCGCCCGCTACGAAATGCCCCCGTCTCGTGCGCCGAACCTGAAGAACGGGTCGAGCGGAAGGAGGCAACGTTTGTTCTTGAGGTTGCTCGGCGGAGTGCCCTGAGGGCCTCTGCCGCACCGCTGCCATGTTTGGGGGCCATCCGTGCCCGCGTTGCTGCTCGGGAGGCCGCGAACAGGTCGCGGTGATCTGTCGAACTGTCGAAACTGGTAGGGCAACCATGCCCCCCAAAAAATGATGTCTGCCCTGATGGTGCCGATGCTCTTGGAATTGCGCCGGCGCTCAGTATTGTGTCTGATGCGATGCGCGATGCTGCCCGCGCAGTGCCCCGCTCGGCCCTTGCCCCTGCGTCCGCGCGCTTGCGCGCCCGACCGCAGGGTCTCCGAGACGCCGAGGAGGCTGCGAGGCTCGCTACTGATGCGGTGCATCGACGGCGCTGTTCGACGAATGGTACAACGTCTTCGAAGGCAAAGGCATGCGGAGCATATTCTTCACACTGCGTCTAATTAGCAACGGCTGCGGCCTCGAGCACTTGAGGTGAATTTGTTTCCGCTGCGTCGGTCGAGCCACATGGGGCCATTAGCTCCTTCGCGGTTGGGCCGCGATGTATGTTGACAGCAGCGTTTGTGACGTGGCCGTGGCGCGGCGCCGCGCTCATGTTCATTCCCTGCGCAGTGCTGCGCGATCCGTTGGGCTTGACTGGGGCGTACATGTGACTTTAAAGTCCAGGGCGAAATTTTCCTCCGGCAAAGCTAGCGGCGCTGGCGATTTAGTCTCGGAGATGCTCCTGAATTTGCCCAAGGCAGTCGTGGAGGCTATACGCGAGTTGTTCAAGAGACGTCATCTCGGCGATCCCACTGGCGAGCCGGTACTTTGGAGGCAACTCAAGCCTGTCTTCGTTGCAAAGTGCAAGTCCACTTTTTTTGGGGGGGAATCTTATTATTATTATCATTATTATTATTATTATTATAATATATAAAACCATTGACCAACTGATACACGTCATGTTTGGCGGATCT